AGCCTCAGATCTACATAGCCAAATGCTTCCTGCTGTTCTGTAGAAACTTTACCCTACACGTTCTAAAATGACCTGGAAAATTGACCCAAAAACCCAATTCTCCTCCAAAAGAGATCGTCAGGGAATGTGTTACATCAGTACAGTCAGAGACAGAAATGTATCATGATCCATACCATTCTCTCTCTCTCTCTCTCTCTCTCTCTCTCTCTCTCTCTCTCTCCCTCTCTCTCTCTCACACACACACACACACACACACACACACCCCTCATCCAATTACCATGTCACTAGTTCCAATAAGAGGGTCTTTAAATGTAGTGAAGCGATTTATTCTGGATTCATCATTTGCTGTTGGAGTTAACTTCTTTCCTTAATTCTACAATCTCATCAGACGTGAGACCTATTCCATCTCAGACACATCAAATTGTAGGGGAGGTTGTACATTTTTGGAGTCAAGAGCATATTGGTATTTGTTCCCATTTGCCCCCCAAGAGGACACCCTATGCTGGTCTCATGTCTTCTCAGAGCTCCCCTTTGTCTTAGAACATTTTAGTTTCTCAATTTTACAACTTGAATGTAGGGTTTAGATGGTTAATATAAAGGGTGGAAGGCAAGGGTGAATACCTTGATTATAGCCAAGATGTTGAGAAAAGCCTAGATAAATCTGAAGACTTCTATAGCAGAAGATGGTACAAGCTCACAGGAGAAAGATGGGACATTCGAGGATTAATTCAGAACACACAGGGCTGGGGATGTAGCTCAGTGGTTCCGCTGCCTGCCTCACAAGCGCGAGGTCCCGAGTTTGTTCGCTGTTACCAAAAAAAAAAAAAAAAAGAAAGAAAGAAAAGAACACACATCTCTCACACTTTATGTATGCTAAAGACTTGAAAACTTATTTAGATATAGGTTATTCTAATGGTAGGAAGAAGAATGTGAGTCAAATGAAGAATAAAGGCACCATACAATTTGATAAAACGTGGATGGTATTTGATCGAATAATCCATTTCAATCAGGCTAAATACAAAATTTTGCTCCCAAACATAGATGACATCATAGCTGTATAAAAATAGGAACCAAATAGGGCTCTGTCTTTTCTTCCCTTCCCTGGGATTCTAGAAGATTATATAAGATCTTGCTGTTGTTAGCAAATTTCATCTCTAAAATCTTTCTCAAGTTTTTCCTGTGTCCCCATTTCCTCTGTACCAGCTAATGCACCAGCCTAGATTCCAGCTATTTTTCTTCACCTGTACTTCTGCTATCGGGCTTTATTTTGTCTCTGTTCTCTCAAGTCAATTGTCCTCATTTCACATTTATCACAAATTATATATATATAGAATATCACAAATATATATATATATATATATATATTTGATTACATCTCTACTATTGCTACTTTCATTGTATGACCTTAAATTCTATGAGAGTCTGTCTGTAATTCTGAAACATCACAAAGTGGAGATAATGTATACTAAATAAATGGGTGGCACTATTAACACGGCCTATCTTAGATGCAAATGTGGCCCTTGGCCAAGGTTTAAACTCTTCCCTGGCTTAGCTATGTCATTCACAAATGAGGATCACCACACCCTGTACCTCACAAGTTGTTAGGAGGCTTTGTACAACAAAATTAATATCTGTAGTTAACAGTTTCTGCAACACTGAAAGAAGTCAGTAAGCTATTCTAATTTATTAAAATATTAATATTGTTATCTTATTATCTAATGCCTCCTATAAAAGGACCTGCTTGCTTAAAGTGACATTAGCAAGGTATGTAAAATTCCAGAAAAAAAAGGATTACATACATTATATTCTCTTGCTTTATAAACCACCAGCAATTCTCTTACCTCTTTGCTGTGGTGAGAATGCTCCAATGTAATCCGTACTGATTCTTCAAGAATGTTCTCAGGATTCCCTAGTTCAAGAAGATTCCTGAGCTTCTAGAGCCTCCTCCTCCTCTGGGTACAAGTGTGATGCTCTGTGTTACATTGATCTGATCACTGATGACCATTACCGATGTCACTACTAGATATACTGCAGGCGATACTCAAGGGCCTATTTCAATAAATTAATAAGCCCTTTGTCATCTTGGATGTTCCTGGCTATCTTTTGAGAGAATGACATTGTAAAGATTTTTAAAAATTCAAATACCTTACAGTATTAAGAAAAACCTGTTGTTAAAGTTACCTGGCCGTCTTCCAAGTGGCTTGGCTATGTCTTCCCCATCATCTGTGTCCCTCTCCTTTTCCTATCAGTCCCCATCAGTAATAGCTGCACCAGCACGACCAACAAATTTTTTCTATTGCCGGCTTAAAGTACCTGTACCCATCTCTTTTGTGCTTGATCCCTAATTCTTGACTTTAACTCATCACTTTTCCCTGGAATGGAATTTCCCCAAACAAAGACAGTTCCTTCCTTATTGGGAATTCTTGCAACCTCTGTCTAGAAAATAATTGTATATAACTTGCTATAAATAAATGACAGAGATTGGCAGCTAAATTAGCAGTACTGTGCAAGAGTGCTTCTGTCTCCTGTAAAGGCAGAGCCTAGGGAGATTTAATCCTACTGCATGTCAAGAAAACAGGATAGGAATATTCAAGACTTCAGCAAATGTTGAAAAACCAAAAGAAAAAAGAAGAAGAAGAAAAGAAACACAGAAGAAGGGAGAGACAACACACAAGTCGAGGAGTACTGAAAAGCCCAAAGATAGTTGCAAACATACAACCAGAGAGACATTTGCCTCTTTCTTAACAAATTCTTTCACTTGGCCCAAAACATGAAGTAAATTAGAAAGCTGTACATTGCAAACAAGACTGCAAAAGTGCACAATATAGACATAGTTGAAAAGTAAGAGATAGGAGGATCTAAAGCAATATTTGGGAGGCAGGAAGGTCTATTTAAAGTGTTTACACTGGACACTATACTTGTGTATACACTTGACCAACTACAATCTCAGTGTACATCGTTTCTGTCCGGTTGTCTTCTATGAGCTCCTTCCTCTTAATCACCCTTGGATTTCTTTATTCTCTTCATAATCTTATTCATAACATAAAAATAATAAGGGCTTAGTGAAGTTATAGAATGGACCATCTTCACACATTTTAATGTTCTGTAAAATGATTACCCAGTAGAACATATATGCTATAAAATGTGAATACACATATCGAGTGACCCATCTTTTCTCATCCTTGGTTCTATTTTCATTAGAGAGATACAATATTTTCTTTTTTAAATTGTAAAATAACAGGTTTCCTGGGAAATATTTTTAAATAAGTGAGTTGATATATTCTGTATTCAGAAATAACAACCATGACTCAGGACACAGAAGAAGTTTCCCGTAATAAATTATGATGATTAGCGCTACCAGACAGAGTGCTTCAGTTCCCGTAGCAAATTCGTTCCAGCTCCTTCCATTAATCAGACTGCTTGCCTGGCTTTATCATTAGTGCCAGGCCTCTCGACTTGGTGCTTAAACCAATTTATACATAATTTAAATCAAAAGCCTTTTTAAAATTCTCTCAGGGTACCCCATGGTACCTGGTATAAAAGAACCTAACTATGTAATCCTACAGTAATTCCATAAGTTTGTTTGTAAGAGTAATTGATTATTGCTGACAACAGTTTTCTGCAACAAAGGCAATCTTTTTCTCTTATTCAAGATCCCCTTCTGCATACAACAGATAGCATTATCTAAAGGGTTTAATGACAGATGTCCATGGGATGAAAAATACTCAACACACATCCACCCTACCTGAGAGATTTTTTCCTAAGTTTTCAATTTATCATGTCAGCCTCTTAAAGTTGGTGTTTAAAAATGGGTGAATGTGGTAAAGAGTCTGAAATTTAAAAAAATACATTCACCTAGGTCAACCATTACCAGCTCCTCCTTCACTGATCTGATTTTTTAAATGGAGATGTGACTAGCAAAGACCTCCTACTAGTCATTTTTGCCATGACTTGTGAGTAGGTGTGTCCAGGTCACTCAAAGAAATCTCCAATGACCATCTACTTGCCTGGAGTGAAAAATGAAAACAAAAGACTTGGTTTAAAAAGTGTCAGGCACTGATAAAGTTTTACATTACCCTTACTCCAAGTCATTTTGCTCCTCTCTCTCCCTCTCTCTCTTTTGTGTTTTCTTTTGATTTTTATTTCTTTGATTCTTTTTATTATTCATGTTTTTGTTTCAGTGACAGGGTTGAGCCCAGGGCTACACATGCTAGGCAAGTACTCTACCACTGAGCTACACTGCAACCCTTCAGTTCTCTTTGTAGCTAAACTTCCACTAATAGTTATTTAGGTCTCCTCCACTGTGTTGCAGAATGGATATTAGCTCATAGACTTTAATACATGTAATAATCTTCTCTTAGAATAAAGTCTTCATTCTGCTGTGAGGAAAACCTATTTTGGGTATTGTTTATTATCTAAAGTTGATTCATATTCCTAACCCTGACATATATGAACACAAGCGCAGGCTTTCTGAGTAACCCTGATCGTGGTCACTTTCTGGAGGTCCTGCAGATCCCTTTGCAGGCCTAGGTGCTGATAATGGGTGGGGAAGGATAAGAATTAATCTATTTGTGATAAATTCACAAATTATCTTTGCTAGGGGTTGACTGTTATATGGCCATATGACAATACCAGCAAAGGTGGAACGAAGGGAATACACTGGGATAGTTCTGGGAAAATTTTTTCCCTACTTTAAAAATAAGATACAGCTGAGAAAACAAGTCTTCTTCTTTCTGCCTTTGGAATTTGTAGTGATGCTAGGAGCTGCTGCAACCATCTTAAAACAATGAAAGTAAAGTCTGAGGATTAGTGCCAAAACAATAAGGACAACAGGGTAGAAACACTGGAAATCAGGATGCCTAATAACATCACTGAGCTGTTCATTTGTCTGACCTTGAAAGCACTTTATCTCAGGGCTTCCACTTAAGTGAGATAATAAACGTCATTATTCTTTAAGCCATTTTGTTTATAACAAATTTGTTTGCAGTTGAAAGCATCTTGTCTGTTAAAATAACCAAAGTTCTTTGCTTGCTATCTTCCAAAGAACATTTTTGCTGAGAAAAAGGACCTGTGGAACATAAAAGAAACAGAAACTGAACCAAGTAGAACAAGTTCACACCCTTATTTTCTGGCTAAATATAATAATTCTACATATCCTTGCAATTTTAGAAGACATTAGTACTTCCTTCTGCATATTAAGTAGTCTGCAGAGTAAATATTCAGAGCACGCAGGACCACATGGAGATGAAGATCTCAGGCCTGGATTCCAGTCTTAGGGATTTGTTTTTGGGTTTGTCTTTCCCTAGCTACATAAAGGGAGCAGACAACCAAACCTCCCTAAACTTCAGCTCATTCATGGGTGCAGTGAGGATAATGACAGCACTTATTTCCCTGGGTTAATGTTGGATGATGAGCTAATCCACATGAAGTAAGTCAAATCTTAGTTTTCCTCTAGAAATAGCATGATCCATGCTGTAGTTTGCATGTTGAGAGCTCCCCGAGGGCCCAAGTGTCAGACTTTGCCCCCTTCCAATGGTGGTACCAAAAGCTGGTGAAGCAGTTAGGGGTAGGGCCTGGTGGAAGGTCTTAGGGCATGTACCCTTGAAGGGGTCACGGGGGCCGGGACACTTTCTCTCTCTCTCTCTCTCTCTCTCTCTCTCTCTGTCTCTCTCTGTTTTTCCACTTACATGAGGATGAGGTAAGCAGCTGGCTCTACCACACACTCCCACCATGTTGTTCTGTCACACCATAGGCCCAGAAGCAACGGAACCAATGGGCACAGCCTGAAACCCCTGAAACAGAGAGCCCATAAAACCTTTTTTTCATATATATATATAT